ATTAAAGATGGCGGCAGCAGTTCTGGCCATAGCAAAGCTGCTGACCTTATCTGAAGGTTCAGTTCCTGCTTAAAGCAGACGCAGCTGATTACGAGCTCAACTGTAAGATGGAAGCAGTTTATGACAATCGTAGGACACTTGTGATTTCTGGGACTCGCCAGTTTGTTGGGGACGGCCTTGGAGAGAGCTAATAAGCACGGACCAGTAGAATGCCCACAAATCTGGCCATTTTGGATCATTGAGAGAACCAGTAGAACTCAAGGCTGACGAGAAACAACAGTCCGTCTGACAAAATTAATAACTGTTGCTTATCTGAATCTGACTCCCCCAGTTCGGCCTTGAACCAGGCCAACTTATCACATTTCTCCTGGGATATGTGTACACTAAGAAAAATCTGCTCTATCCCCCGCACAACCCCTCTCCCCCCCCGAGAACTTCTGTGAACACTTATTAGAGCTGCACTAGCTGACACCAACATCCTATTAGGACTATGGTGCTATCTGGAAGTGCTTCATGGACAAGTTTCACAGTCTTGTCGTCAAATTCATATGTAATATGTCTTTAAATGTGCTTGCTGGTAGAGTTTTTTGATGTCTTAAATCATGTCCTGACAGGGACATGGTGTGAAGAGTTATGTTTTGTAATACCACTATCATGGTCTTTCCCCTTTTTCATCTAAAGGATAAGGGGCCATGCTCTTAGGAGCAGCAGCAATGTGCACTCCGCCCATCTTTCGGACGACTGTATGAACATAATCTCACTGTACTTCGGTGCAATGATAATAAAGCTTATTCTGACTCTGATATACTCTCCTTTCCTGAAAATTGTGCTGGTGTTTGCGTATCGTGTGTTTATATGCTGAAGTGTGTGCACCTACACTGGTTGTTCTCTGTTTGTCTTACAGTTCAGTTCAGGTTGTGTCAGTGTTGCAGAAATCAAAGAAAGCTCCACTGTTTCTTTTTTTGCTGTTTAATGATCCGTTCCTAATGTTTAAATAGCAAATGTGAGTTTTTGTGTTTTTGTCTCCGGTTGCTCTAGCTAATCGAGAGGGGTGGGCGGGGTTTACCCTCTTAGCCATGAAATTCCTCTTCTTCTTGATTTTAGTTTTTGAGTAAACAAACATGAAATAAGAAGAAAATATAAAAAGTATAGTGTTTTATATGTATTTTTTTGCCTAACAACTGTGTTGATTTGAAGTAAAGTGGAATATGACTGTGTTTTATTGATAACCGCCATCACTGTTCCTGCTTTTATGATTTTTGTTCTTTATTTGAAACGCGTTCTCTTTCTTTCTTGCCTCGTTCAACGCTTTAACCTTGCACTATTTAACCCATTTGAATATTGTTTAGCAGAAAGCCGCTATACCTTTTTGTTTTAGATTCTGAGGTTAACAGAGTTAATTCTGTTTCTTGGGTTTGATAGCCTTGAGTAAACTAAAATCATAGCCCTATTTTATGTGAAGTTCAAAAAGGAAATACGACGTGTTTACAGAAATGCTTGCTCTCTGATTAGGTTAATCCAGTGAGTTTTACAATATTTTGCAGTCTATCAAATCACAGAGAAGCATTTGACAGCAAGATTAGCATTTCCACTACATCACAACCTCTCCATCTCTGTCACTTTGTCTCCCTCACAGAGGGGAGTTTGTTTACCAAGAGTTGTTTACAGTTTAAGCGATGTTTCATCGTGCGGGGGTGTCAGCCAGATGTTGAAATAACCTCAGTCCCAGCACTTGGTTTTGTTTTAACCCCATCTCCAGAGGCAGAAAGTTAGTTGTGGCACATTTAGTTGGCGTTTTTCTTTTTTTGCTTCCCTGTATGACTTTCAGCACAGGTTTGATCTGAACTCTTTAAAGTGACGAATGATGTTGCACTGAGATATTAACTCTGTGTCCTCAAGTGAGTGGAAAATGAGAATGCATTTCTTTTCTGACAAAGTGACAAACACCATAGAAGTTGTAGTAATATGAAATGGGTTGATGTACTGTATGTGTAGTCATAAAAACAACTATGTTATAACATATTATTATACCTTTGCTGAGAAGAGAAGCGGAGTTATGTGACAAACGAGTAAATATGTCCTTGGGAAACAGATGACTTTTCATTAGATGATCCCATTTTCCCTTTATAAAAGGTAATGCACACAAATAAGTGGCTTTTTAAACACTTTAAAAGTAAATTAAAAAAAACAACACACAAATACTTTTTTTTTTAATAAAACACAAATTGGCAGCATGGTGGCTCCGTTGGTAAACATGCATGTTAGACTGATTGGTAACTCTAAATTGTCCCTAGGTGAGAGAGAGAGAGTGAGTGAATGGTTGTTTGTTTCTTTTGTCTCCATGTGTCCCTGTGATGGACTGGAGACATGTCCATAAAGTCCCCTGCCTCTCACACAGTGATAGGTGGACATGGGCACCAGTGACCTCATGATTCAAAAAGGAAGAAGCGGGTAAAAGATGATGGATGGATGATAACGCACACACTACCTCAGGTTGAAAAAAATAAAATGGAGCTAATAGTAGCGCTGCAAGTAAGTCCATTTTTATAAACTTGCAAGAGAAAATAAACAGAAAAAATGGAATCAAGAACAGACTAAATAAATTGCAACACTCCACAGAAACGTTCCAAACACGGACATTTAATGACTTTGTCTGCCTGCCCTAAACCTTCCAAAGCGTAAAACACAGCGCAACACTTTAATCTTCAGTTAGCTTGAAGTTCTCTCATACGCTAGTCTCTCTGTCAGTCTCTAAAATCTTTTATAACCTGTTTGACGTTGAAACAGACTCTCATATATGCCTTGGTAGTTTTAAAAGTAGCAAACAAATTAACTGAAGTATACGCTCTGCACAAGTTAACTGCTGTAAGCAGGACATACTAATGTATACGTGGTGTGGAGGACACCAGTTATTTCAGTCGAGATGTTAAAGAAATTTAATCAGAAGTAGATATGGGGGGAAAAATGGTCTCAACTAAAGGTATAAACATCAACACATTACTGTAGTCAAATTTTTGAATCATGATGAGTTCATGGCAGCCCTTGCTATGAGTTCCTTCTTAGTTGCAACTGATTACAGTCTGTCTTACTGAACCCTCTGGCAACATCAGTACCAAATCATATTTTCTGTTTAAAAACATTGTGTCATCTTGCCAAGATCTAACAAGGTCTCTAATGCTTAGAGAAAATAATTAAATGTTGTGGATGCCTACAAGTTTGGCAAAGAGTAGAAAAAGATCAAGAGCTGACTGTCTGAAGTAAGAAGATGTTTCGAAGAACCTTTTTCATCACAGTCTGGATGTAACTTTTTTTTTTGGTGTCAAAGTGCATACGTCTACGAGGAGAGTTCAGATTTATTATGAATGAAAGACACGCTTGTGAAAAGCTTCTACTTTTCAAAAGTACTGAAACAAAACAGCAGCCAATGAAAGACCTGGTCGTTTGGGATAGTGTGCGTCGGAGAAGAATCGAAAAAAAGGAATTGTTTAAGAGGGAATGTGTTCGATGCAAACCTGAAAAGTTTTTAGATACATGTCAAATCAGCTGCTTATTATCTATTATAACCTATTAATAGGTTTATTGATCATGATGCTGTTGTTTGTGACTATACGTTGGAAAAAAAAGACGCAGTATTCGTTGGATTGGTTTGTTCTTACTGACTGTAAATACAAACTTGTTTTTGGCTGTAGCTCAAGAAATACTGCTGAACATTTTAAAAAGGTAACAAAGGGAAGAATAAAAAACCACTGAAGTTTGGGTGATTGATGGAACTTGGTTCAGTTTCTGTTTTTGTGTGAGTGGCAGTCATCGGCCTGTGACAGCTCTCTTGCCCTGTAGACTTTGTCAGGTTTTAATGCTGTCAGCACTGGTGCTGACTGATTGGGGATTTAGTCCAAGGATAGAAGTGCTGAGAAGTATAAATATTGTAACCACGCTCAAATTAACCCTATTTTAGCTTTGAAGTTGTAGAAAATAATATCATTTTGAAGATTTCCACCCCTCTTAGCTTGCTTATGTAACAATTGCAGCTATACCCAGATACAAGGACCGAAGAGAACAGATACCAAGACTCAAATATGTTTAGTGTTTATTTACTAAGGTGGAAAAATCGATTGTGCCAGGGAGCAAGCTGGAACCCTAAAGAGCAAGGAGATGGTTTCTGGTCTGTCAGCAGGGGGTGATAATGTTGTTGCTGCTCTTTCTTACGATAGAGGTAGGTCAGTTGTGGACAGAGCTGATCGAGTGGTCCCAGGGTGAAGAAGGTGCGTGTCAGAACAAAGGTTTTAGGCAGGAGGCAAGCAAGTGGTAGGAAGGTGTGGAGGCAGCTGAGGAGGTACAGGAGAGCTTGAGGTCCACAGAGAATCCATGGGGCAGGAGGACATCTGGGATTATACTCTGAAAGCACGGAGAAATATACAGTTTGTTACTGTTTAGTTTAACTCACAAGGAAAAGGCTAGAACAGAACTACCAGGACATCCTTGTACTTTGTAAAAGAGATTGATGATCTCAATGGTTTTCTTCTTGGTAAAACAAAGGCATTTTTTTTAAATAAATGACAGGTAATGCTCCAGCACACGCTGAATGTCCTCTGCAGCCTTTTATGCTCCTCTTGCTCATCAAGCCGGTGATCCTCAGGTGCTGCTGATCGGTGCTCAGATGTGGCTGCAGGGAGCTGGCACGGCAGAACTCCCACAGTTTATATTTAATGTGTTCACCTGTGATATTAAAAGAACAAATATTACTAACTCTACCTTTGATTAAATGCATTAATTCTGCAAGTAGCAGTCACAGATTGACTCTAGCTCATCAGTTGACAATGCCTTTGCATACTATACTCAATTGGACTTCCATCAGCAATCCCTTGAATAAATCTATCACTTTATTTTGTTTGGAAACGCATACGACTATCACTTGGCTAAATGGTAATCACACATCAGGTAACAACATCCTGCCAGAAGAATCGGATCACTGAATGGTATTCTATGTTTTGTGTCTACAGGTGGATACTATTGTGACACTTGGAGGTCTGGCGGGCAGATTTGACCAGACCATGGCTTCTGTTGAGACCCTTTTCCACGCTTCGTCCATGACACAACTGGCTGTAGTGATAATTCAGGGAACAAGCTTTGCATATCTGCTGAGACCCGTGAGTGAATTGTTCTTAAACACTAAACCCAAAGTTTCTCTTTGGAACTAAACAAACTTTCAACCTACTTGTGCTGGAAATGCTCCTACCCGTCTGGCTAGCCATTTAGCCTTCATTCTTCTTCTCCTTTTTTGTTTGCTTGTTTTTTTCTTTATTGATCAAAAAAAAAAAAAATGCAATGTTTCACGTAAATAGTGAAATGCAAACTAAAAACTCAAAGTTGTGGAACAGGATAAGATATGGACTTACACTTATTAAAAAGCAAAACTTATCAAAATGCTAGTTTCCAAAAAATTCGCATTTCATAAAAATAAACATGGTCTTACAGCGGGTTTGTCTTCCTTGCATATAAACACTACACACGTAGGCAGAATGTATTTTGTTCACACCGAGCCGACATTGTGCTTTAACAACTCCCTAATCATCTGTCTTCCAGTCATTCTTCTCATTTTCTGTTCGTGTTCACAAATGGTTTTTCTTGCTTTGCTTCCACCTTGATTGGAGTGTTGAATGCTTCTTTTTTTTTTTGCGTTTAATAATCATGCAGAGAACACAAACACGCTCTCACTCACATACACACTTCTCTGCTCTTATATTGTCCCAATTTGATGTTGTGAATATGAGAGCAGGAGACGCTCTTGATGCTCCCAAGTTGTTGTTTTTCTCCCAGTACCGACCTCTTTCTCAAGCTTTTCCTCTGATTGAGTTTACAAGTAGACTGAGCATCTCCTCCATACCCCACAACCTTTTCACTCGGTTGTTTTCCTTGCAGGAGAGGTCTTTGAGACAAAATACAGCCACACCTTCTGTTGATACCTTGAAACACTATAAGCAAACTTCTCTCTCTTAAAAAGTCTCTGGATACTTGTCGTTATTCCAAATACCTGTTGTCATCCGCTGTTTCATACCTCAACGCTTCCAATAAATCTTTCTTCAGCAAGGAATTAAGCTCGTTTGTCAACCCAGCGACTGAAGAGCACACGTTTGTACACGAAGGTGAACGCAACCTTCGAAAAGCCCAGTTTTATCTCTTCAAGCCACATCTGTAACTGAGATGTTTACTGCTTTTGCCCTCTGGCCTCACAGCTTGTATTCTTTCCATTTAAAGTTCATGTTCTATGCACATACTAAAAACGCACTCAACAAAATGTGATTATGTGAAAACATGTCTTGTTTTATATATTGACCTAATGGGTGTACAGTAGTCCCTCTTTTATCGCGGGGGATCTGTAACCTGAAGCCCCACTATACATGAAAACCCACAATGTAGGAATAGTAGTACAAGTAGTAAGTAGTAGTTCAAGTTTATATATATATATATATATATATATATATATATATATAT